GTTCCAAAAGATCTATTTACTGATCATATCCGTTTGACCTTACGTGGCTTCTTCAAGGTCAGGTCAAGGTCAGATCAATTTTTTTAAATGGAACACCTTATTTTTCATTACATATTCTTGTAGCACATCTCGAGAGCTTTCCAAAACACTATAAATATTTTTTCATGAAATACTTTTGGAGTTATAAGGCTCGAAAGTTACAGTACAGTTGACATTAGCATTACGCAAATTGTCTGACAGATGGCTAAAACCTCTTGAATGCTGTTCAAGATCATGTCCTGGATAACATTTGTCAAGATCGAGGTTATTGAAGATTGTTTCTCTTATTTCCATTTTTACATAAAAAGGATTTTTCATTGCAAAAATGAAAATAAAAGAAACAATCTCCAGTGACTTTGATTAACAAACGTTATCCAGGACATGATTTTTAACGAAATTCAAGAGGTTTTAGCCGTCGGTCGGGACACCTTGTGTAATGCTAATGTCGGCGGTACTATAACTTTCAAGCCTTATAACTCCCAAAAGTATTTCATGAAAAAATATTTTATTATAGTGTTTTGGAAAGCTCTCGAGATGTGTTACAAGAATATGCAATAAAATATAAGGTGTTCCATTTTAAAAAATTGATCTGACTTTGACCTGACCTTGAAGACACCACGCAAGGTCAAACGGATATGATCAGTAAATAGATCTTTTCGAACCTTACAACTTTTGTCTGAAACACTTTTCTGTAATACTTATATTTTCTATGATATTCAGGTGTCCCGGTACTTTTTCCCCACCTTATATATATATATATATATGTGTGTGCGTGTGTGTGCGTGTGTATGCACAATTTCGTATAGTTTTGTCAAGTCGTATAATGGTATCTTTCAGAGGGTAGAACGAGAACTACAAATTAAAGGTGCAGGACATTTGTTTTCTGGTCCACGGAATTCAATTATTAATCAATCTCAACAGCAACAACAAGATCCTAGCGAGACGGACGCATTATTACCGGGAATGTTGAATATTGACTTGCCAGCTCAGTCGACATCTCCTCATGGTATTTTCTTTATTTTATCGAAATAAGCATTTACATTACATGTTTATGATTATATATTTAATGTTAATGTTAATGTTTTTAACGTAAAATTTTTCTACAATTTTTTGTTTGAAAGGTTTAGTTTGCAATACAACCGGTATGTCTGGTGGTTCAGTGACGTATCCAGGGCTGCACACTAACGACGCAGCGTTGGTATGCAGCGCTTATCTTGATGGTAAAATAATGGGGATGCAAGCTGCACAGTTCCAGAAAACGCTTTCCGTGGTTCCAACCGCGACGGAAACGTTCCCCACAAATACATTTCCTTCCTCACCTCCCTTGTCTCTCGCGCCATTACCTGTTACAACTACTACCACCGTATCACTCATTAGTGCTACTTCAACAACTACGCCGAGTCCGCCGAGCATTTCTACGCCTCCAACCGTTATAGCCGTTTCTCAATCGCCTATTACTGCAAGCAGCGACGTCAGCCAAAATACTGCTATAAGTGATCGTCCGAAAGCTAAACCCGTATCAAAAAAGGAAGGGAAAAATGTACGAAAAGCTACGTCTAGTATGGGGATGGCAAAATTACAACAAACACAAGCAACCATAATGGCTGGACTTCATCAACAATATCAACAGAAACAACGTCAGCATCCTTCTTATCAAGTGCAACAGGTTCAGCAGCTACAGCAACTAAATCAACAACTGCAACTCCAATTGGATCAAGTGCAGGTGGATTTTTATTTTTTTTTTTTTTAA